CGGGACGAGAGGGGCGGGGCAGGGCTGGCTGGGAGGGGCGAGTAGGGTCCCGGGCGGGGCTGGGCGGAGCCGCCGCTGGGTAGCGGGGAGGAGTGCCGGGCTGTGCTTTGGCTGTGAGGGGGAGTGTACGGCCCGGGCTTTCCGGCTCAAAACTCCGCCAAAGCCAAGGCCACAACGATTATCTGTCTGCTTCTAGAAGTTTTAGAATGAAGGTTTTATGTTTAGGTCTGTGATTCACTTTGAGCTAATTTTTGGATATGATGCGAAGTGTGAATCTTAGGTAACTTTTTGTCATCTGGGTATCTACCACTATTTGTTGAAAGAGCTGTATTTTTTCCACGGAATAGCCTTTGCACCTGTGTCAAAAATCAGTTGTCCTTATATGTGGGTCTAACACTTAATATTTCTGTTCCCCAATCTATTTGTCTAACTATAAAAACACGACGTTGTCTTAATTACTCTAACTATAATGAGTCTTGAAAGCGGGTAGTGTTTGGCCTCCAATTTCGTTCTTTCAAAGTTGTTTGGGCTCTTCTCTTTCAATATGAATTTTAAAGCCAGCTTGTCATTTTCTATTAAAAAGCTGGGATTTCTGTTGGAGTTGCATGGAATCTATAGGTCAATGTGGGAAGAATTTATGTGTTAATAATATTGAATCATATGACCCTTGAACAAAGTAAACCTCACCATTTGTTTAGGTGTTATATAATTTCAAAAATGTTTGATATTTTGTCAGATTTATCCCCAAAATCATGGGGAAGGAGGAACCATAGTTTTAAAAAAAATTTTATTTACTTTTGGCTGCGTTGGGTGTTTTTTTGCTGCACGCGGGCTTTCTCTAGTTGCAGCGAGCGGGGGCTACTCTTCCTTGTGGTGCGCGGGCTCCTCATTGCAGTGGCTTCTCTTGTTGCGGAGCACGGGCTCTAGGCGCGCTGGCTTCAGAAGTTGCAGCACATGGGCTTAGTAGTTGTGGCACGTGGGCTCTAGGCGCGTGGGCTTCAGTAGATGTGGTGCACGGACTTAGTTGCTCCACAGCATGTGGGATCTTTGGGGACCAGGGCTTGAAGCCGTGTCCCCTGCATTGGCAGGCGGATTCTCAACAACTGAGCCACCAGGGAAGTCCAAGGAACCATACTTTTTGAGGCTATGTAAATGATATTTTCAATTTCAATTTCTGGTTCTTTTCTAGCATGTAGAAATACAATTGATTTTTAAAATTTTAATATTAAAATTTTTAAATTAATTTTTTTTTAGAGCAGTGTCAGGTTCATAGCAAAATTGAGCAGGAAGTACAAAGATTTCCTTTATGATCCTTGTCGCCACACACCCACAGCTTCCCTATCAGTATCCCTTTACCAGAGTGGTGGGTTTATTACAACTGATGAACCTGCATTAACACATCATCATCACTCAAAGTCCACAGCTTATAGTAGGGTTCGCTCTATGTGTTGTACATTCTGCCCGTTTTGACAGATATATAATAACATGCATCCACCCCTGTAGTATCATACAGAATAGTTTCACTGCCCTAAATAAAAATCTTCTGAACTCTGGCTATTCATCCTTCCCTCCCACCTAACCTCTAGCAACAACTGATCTTTTTACTCTCTCTGTAGTTTTCCAGGATATCATATAGTTGAAATCATACAGTATGTTGCCTTTTCAGACTGGCTTTTTCACTTAGTAATATATATTTAAGGTTCCTTCATGTCTTTTCAAGGCTTGGCAGCTCATTTCTTTTTGGTGCTGAATAATAGTCCATTATCTGGACGTACCACACTTTATCCACTCACCTACAGAAGGACATTTTGGTTGCTTCCAAGTTTTGCCAATTATGGCTAAAGCTGCTATAAACATCCACGTGCAGGTTTTGCCGTAAGTTTTCATCTCCTTTGGGTAAATACCAAGGAGCATGATTGCTGTATCATATGATAAGAGTAGTTTTGTAAGAAACCATTAAAATGTCTTCCAAAGTAGCTGTACCATGTTGCAGTCCCATCAGCCATGAATGAGAGTTCCTATTGCTCCATATTCTCTCCAGTATTTGGTGTTTTCAGTGTTTTGGATTTTAGTCATGCTAATACATGTGTAGTCTCTCATTATTATTTTGCTTTGCATTTCCCTGATGACATATGATGTTGAATATCTTTTCATCTGCTTAATTTTCATCTATATATCTTCTTTGGTGAGGCATCTTCAGGTCTTTTGCCCATTTTTAAATAACATTGCTTATTTTCTTATTGTTGAGTTTTAAGGATCCTTTATCAAATGTGTCTTGCAAGTATTTCATCCCAGTCTGTGGCTTGTCTTCTCATTTTCTTGACATTTTCATTCACAGAGCAGATTTTTAATTTTAATTAAGTCCAGCTTATCA